TTTTGCAAAAATTTGTGAAAACTTGTAGTTTTAGACTATAGTGATGTATGCAGGTTGTGTTTAAAATTTTATAAGCTATAAAACTGTAAATTATAGTTTTAGCTAAAGGATTTAAAAGATTTTATAAATTTTCTTAAAATTTGTCTCTAATGTGATGCAACTACTAAAGTTTTGTACTTTGCATGAAAAGTATATTTACAGCTTTGGTTCAAAATCTTATAAGCTATAAAACTGTAAAACTCAGTTTTGTGCTAAAGCTAACTGTTTAGAAAATATTTTAATTTTTATCAAAAATAGTCCCAAAAGTTGTACGCGTTTTAAGGTATAAGGTAAGAATGTATACTTTCGGCAACTTTTTCTGCAAAAATCTAGCAAACGGACAATTTTACCAAAAAATAGTATCAGAAGCTTTTATTCCAAATTTTATTAGCTATACAACTGTGAAATACAGTTTTGTGGTAAAACAAACCGTTATACAGATATTAACACTTTTATCAAAAATTGTCCTTACAGTATATAAGTATATATGCAAGATGTCTGATTTTTGACAAAAATCTAACAAATGGTGAATGTTACATAAGTATATTGTAAGAAGCTTTTGTTCCTGATAGTATTAGCTAAAAATCTCCAGAACACAGTTTTGTGCCAAAACAAACCATTTATCAGGTATTAATTTTTTTATCAAAAATTGACCCAAAAACAGTACGCGATTTAAGGTATAAGGTAAGAATGTATAATTTCGGCAACTAATATTTATAAATTAATAATTTGGCAAAAATCTAGCAAATTATGAATGTTACACAAAAATATTATGAGAAACTTTTGTTTCTAATAGTATTAGCTAAAAAACCCAGAATTCAGTTTTGCGATAAATCCAGTGGTTTAGGAAATATAATTAGTTTTACCAAAAATTGTCCTCAAAGTTGTAAACGATTCAAAATATTCATATACAAGAATTCCGGATTTTGCAAAGTTTATGCAAAAATTTATGCAAATGTTAATATTTACATAAAAGTGATGTATCACAAGTTTGTCCAGAATTTTGTGAGCTATATGATCATGGAACACAGTTTTGTGATCAAATCAAGGGTTTAGATTCTAAACTTTAGAAGATATAAGTACATTTCTCTAAAAACGATATGGCAAAAATTTTACTGGTGTTCTACGTTTTGGGAAAAAGCACCAAAATGGTAAGTGATACACAAAAACTGTGTATAAACGAAATGTTCAAAATTTTATCTCCAGAACATTATATAGTGCTAAAACCAAAAGTTTCCAAAAAATTTGCATTTTTCTAAGTGATGTCGATTTTTGGTGATGCTCAGAAGTTTCTTATCAAAATAATCAAAAGGCAAGTTAAGGCAACGAGTTTCACATCTAGTGATGTTTACAACAGAGTATTTGTGTTCTTGATTGATGCCTCCAGAAGTTTTACTTCTAATTATCCTTACAAACTAATTTTTGTCTAATTAATTACCACACCTCCTGCAAGTTTCACGAGATTCATTTTGTGATCTTCTTATTGTATCCGTAGGAGTTGATTGCTGAAATCACACAAAAAGTGGTAAATTTGTGGTAAATATCCTTATTTGATGGTGATGGTAAATGAGTATTAGATGATGAGTGCAATTGATAGATAATCCTATTAATGACCAACATTTGTTTGTCAATTTTGATACCAAGTTTTGCTAAATCTCCAATTACCAAAAGTGGTTGGTAATAGATTAGATGATGGTGCTGATAGATTTCGTTAGTATGGTGAATTATTATGTAGATTATTAGATGATGAGTGCTATTGTTAGATGATCCTGCTTTTAATTTTTGTTGGCCAACATTTGCTTATAAATCTTGCTACTCAGTTTTGCTAAATTTTCAACTTTCTGGTCAATATGATGTAGGTTTTGAGATGCACTTGGATATTTTTATGGATTCCTAAGTGTCAACTATTGGTGGATTAATTCTTTGATGCAAAGTGTACACAATCACATCACAATTTGGATAGAATCGGTTTATGTAATACAAAGATCTTGGCCAGCATTAATTCTAACCTTAATTCTAATAATTCTATACAATCAAGATCAGTAAGATTTTGTTTAAGTTTGTTGACAATTTGACCAACTGATCTAATTAAATTGTCATTAATTTCTTTATTTGTGCAAATATTTCCAAATTTAGGCATCATTTTAGCAGAAAACTTTTTGCTGGACCAAGTAGTTTTTTGAACAATAGTCTAAGATTTAGGTTTTTGGTCTAACTGTGCTAATATTCACTGAATTTGGACTAAATGTTAGTGAGCTTTTTAATTAATTCTAAATTTTGGACATGACTTTAAATGTTGATCCCACGAAAGAAGTAGTTGCTGAACTAATTGTTATATAATTCAACTAGATTTATAAGTATTACCAATGCCATCAAGATAAATGGTTAGTTTTACCATCATTTTTAAACTAGAAATTAGGATCAATGAATTGTGATTTTTAGATATTCCTAAATTGCGGACATTACTTCAAATGTGGATCCAAACAACTACTATGTTAGTGGTCAACTTGCAAAGTTATGCAATTGAATAAATAAATTTTTCCAATATCTTTAAGAGAAATCAGTTTAGTCATCAATTTTAAACCTGAAACTGTTATCAGCTAACTGATTTTTTCGAATATTCCTAAATTTAGACATGACTTTAAATGTTGATAGCAAGAAAAACATTTTTGCTGGTCAAATTGTAAAATTATACAACTAAATAAGTAAATATGTCCGATATCTCCTAGAGAATATATTAGTTTAGTCATCAGTTTTAAACCATAAACTGCTATCAATTGAGTCAACTCCTTGAGTATTGCAAAATCTAGACGTGTCTTTATATATTGACCATAACAAAAACTTTCTTGCTGGTCAAATTTGCCAAATAATTTAATCAAATATATAAACTGCACCAATGCCACCAAGGCAACACATCAGTTTTACCATCAATTTTAAACCAGAAATTGCTATCAACCAACCAAATTTCATGAGAATTCTTAAATTTAGATATTATTTCAACGATTGATTCAAACAAAAACTTTCTTGCTGGTCAAAATATAGAGTAAACCTACTAAAAATATAAACTGTACCCATGCCACCAAAACAAAAGATCAGATTAGTCATCATGTTTTAATCAGAATTTTCTATCAGCTAACTGAATTTCTACAATATTCCTAAATTTAGACAAGACTTTAAACGTTGACCTTAAGAAAAGCTTTTTTGCTGGTCAAAATGTAAAATTAGGCAACCAGATATATAAATTTCACTCAAGTCACCAAGACAAATTATTAGTTTTGACACCAATTTTAGACCAGCAATTGCTATCAATTGAGTCAACTCCTTAATTATTCCTGAATTTAGACTCAACTTCATCAATTGATCCAAACAAAAACTTTCTTGCTAGTCAATATGTAAAATAAATTCACTGAATATATAAATTTTACCAATGGCACCAAGACAAAGACATCAGTTATTTATATAAATTTTTACCAATTGCACCAAGACAAAAATAGAAAAAGTACCTAGGTACAAAAAGGAATATTTAAGGAATTTTGTTGTACCTAGAAATATCTTTCTTCATACAATATTTACCAAAAATTTAACTAGTCATCACTTTTTAACCAGAAATTAAGATCAATAAACGAAGTTTCTTAAATATTCCTAGATCCAAACAGAAACTTTCCTGCTGGAGAAATTTGTTCTTTGGTCAACAAATTTGCTTCATGATCAATTTAATTTTTGAAAATGATGATTGCATGATAAAAAGTGATTTTTCTTCTCTTACCTTTGAATTCAGGATCACACATAACCAGCAGCTCATACCATTCCTCTCCTCGAACTCTTGGTATATCCAAATGACCACCATAACAATCTGGTAGACATTTGGCACTAATGTGCTGGTGCAAAGATTTGCGATCAGTACCATGGAAAATAATCCTGGACTTCAATTTGTCCCTTAAGAAGGGTTTGAAGAGCTGGAAGACCATGTTGAAGATGTAGGGCTGGTTCACTATGTGGATGCTCTTGATACGAAGGGGGACTGAATCCTAGGGAAAAAGACAAACGATATAACCATGATGACTCAAAAAGGGTTAATTTTGGTCTATTTACCTGTAACCAGTCAACTATCCTTTTAGCGAATGGTGGTGTGAATTGCCAGACTTGTTGCATCGACAAACCGTCCATGTCGAAGATGACGACTGCTCCACAAATTTGGGTTTCTGGTTCCAACATTGCAGCTTCTAGAAACATGACTGCACCTTTGAAAACTTCATCTAAGTTGCATTTGTTGTGCTTCCATTTTTCTAAAAAAAAATCAAAATTATTTGGGTAAATCATAATGGAGCAAGAACTTGTTTTTGGATGTAGAACTATTAGATTAGATATAAAATTTGAATAAAAATTGTGATGGCAGTATTGTTTTGAAGGTTGTTTCTAAAATGTTTTTAAAATTTACTGGACAAGACTAATTTTGTTCCTGAAGATGATATAAAATGGTGGAAGATCATGGTGAAGCAATAATTTGTTTTGCGTTTTTGGTGAAGATATCGATTTGGGATTGTTGTAGGATGTTGATTGCGTGCATATTAAGATGCCTGCAACACTAGAACATCATACCCTAGCCCGTTCTAAAGATAAAGACAAGTGAGCAAATTGCATATGAAGTGCGCCAAATTGCAATTGCTCCGTAGGATATCTCGAGAAGCAATGAAGATATCGATTTGGGATTGTTGTAGGATGTTGATTGGGTGCAGCTTTATATGTCTGCAACACTAGAACATCATACCCTAGCCCGTTCTAAAGATAAAGACAAGTGAGCAAATTTGCATATGGAGTGCGCCTCAATTCGATTGCTCCGTAGAATATCTCGAGAAGCATTGAAGATATCGATTTGGGATTGTTGTAGGATGTTGATTGCGTGCATATTAAGATGCCTGCAACACTAGAACATCTTACCCTAGCCCGTTCTAAAGATAAAGACAAGTGAGCAAATTTGCATATGGAGTGCGCCTCAATTCGAATGCTCCGTAGAATATCTCGAGAAGCAATGAAGATATCGATTTGGGATTGTTGTAGGATGTTGATTGCGTGCATATTAAGATGCCTGCAACACTAGAACATCTTACCCTAGCCCGTTCTAAAGATAAAGACAAGTGAGCAATTTGCATACAAAGTGCGCCTCAATTGCAATTGCTCCGTAGAATATCTCGAGAAGAAATGAAGATATCGATTTGGGATTGTTGTAGGATGTTGATTGCGTGCATATTAAGATGCCTGCAACACTAGAACATCATACCCTAGCCCGTTCTAAAGATAAAGACAAGTGAGCAAATTTGCATATGGAGTGCGCCTCAATTCGATTGCTCCGTAGAATATCTCGAGAAGCAATGAAGATATCGATTTGGGATTGTTGTAGGATGTTGATTGCGTGCATATTAAGATGCCTGCAACACTAGAACATCTTACCCTAGCCCGTTCTAAAGATAAAGACAAGTGAGCAAATTTGCATATGGAGTGCGCCTCAATTCGATTGCTCCGTAGAATATCTCGAGAAGCAATGAAGATATCGATTTGGGATTGTTGTAGGATGTTGATTGGGTGCAGCTTTATATGTCTGCAACACTAGAACATCATACCCTAGCCCGTTCTAAAGATAAAGACAAGTGAGCAAATTTGCATATGGAGTGCGCCTCAGTTCGATTGCTCCGTAGAATATCTCAGGAAGCAATGAAGATATCGATTTGGGATTGTTGTAGGATGTTGATTGCGTGCATATTAAGATGCCTGCAACACTAGAACATCATACCCTAGCCCGTTCTAAAGATAAAGACAAGTGAGCAAATTGCATATGAAGTGCGCCAAATTGCAATTGCTCCGTAGGATATCTCGAGAAGCAATGAAGATATCGATTTGGGATTGTTGTAGGATGTTGATTGCGTGCATATTAAGATGCCTGCAACACTAGAACATCATACCCTAGCCCGTTCTAAAGATAAAGACAAGTGAGCAAATTTGCATATGGAGTGCGCCTCAATTCGATTGCTCCGTAGAATATCTCAGGAAGCAATGAAGATATCGATTTGGGATTGTTGTAGGATGTTGATTGGGTGCAGCTTTATATGTCTGCAACACTAGAACATCATACCCTAGCCCGTTCTAAAGATAAAGACAAGTGAGCAAATTTGCATATGGAGTGCGCCTTAATAATTAATTATTATAAAAATTTTATTAAAAAGTATTAAATTTTGTTAACACGACGTAATATTAGATAAAATGATCTAAATTTTGTTATACTTAAAAATATTTTTGTCCACACAAAATCCTTCAAAAATATAAGATTATCATCATACTTCAAACCAAACACAAAACTTTAAAAAAAAATCTAGTAAATCTGTTAATTTTCATTTTGATGATTTTTCTTCTACTTACTTCCAAGTTCCAAAAGCAATATCCTTCTTCCCAATTGATCTCTATTTGGAAAAACTGTCAGAATATTTTGTTGGAAAACATTTTTTTCACCACTTGGAATTAGTCCATCGTAGACGTTGGCATGTTTTACTTTAAAACTGTAGTATCTTTTAATCTGAAAAAATATAAAAATAGTAAAAAATAATAGAAGTCAAATTTAATATGAAGAATAGGTAGAAAATTTTATTACTTTAAACCGGTAGTTCTATAAACAAAAAAACAACTATTGCTTGAACTTACTAATAAAACTGAATTAAACTCTACTAAACAAAATTTTCAATATTTCAGTATTTTTCTATCGAAAATACATTTTATTATTTAATCAATTACCTTCGTCTAGCCATTTGTCTAATAAATAATTATATATATATATATATATATATATATAATAAAAATCAACTTTTTCACTCATATTATCGTCGAACAAAAACAGGTTTTAGTGTCAAATCAACGTCATAATTTAATTATACAATTTTATTCGGACAAAGACAAAAAATGTTAAAAAAACTTTAATTGTGACGCCAGAATGATTGTTCAAAATTTCTATGACGCAAATTTATCAAAAACGTAATATATTTTTCATATATAACAAAATTTAACGTCTATTTTTGACAAATAAAAATACCCTTAAAATATATGATAACGTTTCAATTACAAATTTAAAGTATATCGAGTTGCTGTAGAGATGTTAGACAATGTTATAAATAAATCAATTTTGCCAAATATTTCATTTAAATAAAACAAACAGATAAAAAGTTACAGAAGATATTATAAATAAATGTCCTTCAGAATTTTTGATCTGCGATCAAAACTTACGTCTCCTTGTAAAGATAAATGAAAATTTAGTGCGATTAGATTAAACGTGTATTATCAAATTGATTTTGGAGTATATTTAGTAAATTTAGGGCATTATGATATTAGAAAATATTTAAGATAATTCAATTTTGAACAAATTTTTAGCATATTTCATTGACATAGCATAAACAATTTAAAAGTTACAAGAGATTTAAGAAATGCACAAAAGCTTTAGAAGTAATTGAAAGCGATTTTAAAGTATACCGAATAGCTGTAGGTCCTTAATATGTTAGACAATATTGCAACTTATTTAATTTCGTAAATATTTACTATATATGTCATATATATTGGAATATTAGTTTAAAAGTTATTGTTATTCCTAAACACATTTTCAAATGCAATTTTAAATTATAACAAATTGTTGTACAACAGTATGGTGTTACAAAATTTTAAAGAATAGTCTGAAATTGTCAAAAAAATATAATTTGTTATTTATTATGTAGACTTTAATAATTTTTTTAAATAAAAAACGGATTTCTTATCATTTAGTTTTGACTGCGTAATACTTATGTGTACATATTTCTAGTTAGACTTGTTTCGTAAGTACAAAGATATATATATATATATATATATATATATATATAATATGTATATATATAAGTGTATATATTTCTGATATAAATGCACTTTCATTTTGACATACATATACATGCCTAAAATCAAACGCAAATTGCATCTTGCACCGATTTCAAAATATCTGTCCATTTAACTATTGAATTTACTATAACTTCTATACGATTAGATTGAGAATAATAAAATATTTAGCAAATTTGTTGGAAATTATATAATCTGTTAAATTCTTTAATATCATAGTATTATAAATCTACTCAGAGTACTCTAAAATCACATTTGAAAGTAGAAAATTAAATTAAGCTAATTCGCATTTATTTACTGTATATCGTATGTTATTATTTACAGTTAGAAAAATATTCGACAAATTTGTACAAAATGAAATAATTTACTCATAAATTTTATACAAATAAAATATATAATAATTATCTTAACCTTTTTCATCTGTTTTATATCAGATTGACATTTATAAATGTGTAAAAATTGTGTAAAAAATACCGCAATGGAATAATTTATATATTTATATATGGGAAGTGTAAAAAATATTGTTAAAACTCACGTTTGCGGAAAATTTATTCAATTAATCTAATTATGCGAATATTTTATTTTTATCTGGAAGAAATAGATGAATAAATCTTCAATTCAATGACAAAGACAACTTTGTTCACGGTCAAATGGTTTTTTATAAATAAATATGTATTTTAAATAGAAACTTTCACTAAAACTAATTTATGCATACAGTAATTTAATAAACTAAAATATTTTTAGTATAAAATTTTTTAAAAATCTAATTATAGTACAAATTGAATATTTGTAAATACCTGTAGTCGATTTGATTTGATAATTTAGTCGATTTTGAAAAATTTTCTGAGAAAATATAGAATTTTATTTAAATGAACTGAAATTAGATTAAATTATATAAATTATGTCATACTTAGAAATATTTTTGTTCATATACAATTTTATAAAAAATCAAGATTTTAATTGACTTAATGCTAAACAGAAATGTTATGGTACAAATTTTCTGAGAAAGTATCGAATTTTGTAAAAACGACATGAAATTAGATTAAATTATGTAAATTATGTAGTATTTAAAAATATTTTTGTTTATATAACATTTTATAAAAAATTAGGATTTTAATTGTCTTAAAGCTGAACAGAAATGTTTTACGTAATCATGATACGAATTTTTAAACTTTAGTCCATGTTGAAAAATTTTCCAAGAAAGTATCAAATTTTGTTTAAACTACAGGAAATTAGACTAAATTATCTACGTTATGTCATACTTAGAAAAATTTTTGTTCATACAAAATTTTATGAAACTTTAAGATCTTTTCACATATAAAACCGAGTAAAATAAATTATTCATAAGCATGTTAAATCGAAAGTGCATTTTTATCCGTATAATAATACAATTATATATATATATATATATATATATATATATATATATATATATATATACATATATAAATGACAGTAATTGCATGTCAACCAGATGTACGTAATATATTTATATCAATTATTATAATTATTTCATATCTAATAAAAGCATGCACATGTCATGTAATTCAATCCGTTCACCATAAAATAGTTATCAGTTATATAAAAGTTTTGATTGAAATAAAAACTTCCGACATACCAAAAAAATAAGTTAGACATATCAGAAATTAACGAAATTTTTGTACAAATTTTAGAATAAATAAAATAAATCTTTTATCCTTACCATATCCCTGGCACTCTCAGGATAAAATTTGCAAGGCCTCAAAAATCTCACAAGCCATTGTTCATTATCCAAAGGACAATGCAAATCTTTTTCCTCCTTTAAAAGAGCTTTAAGCTCCTCAATGGCTTCTCGTTTTCTGTCCGGATTTTCCCGGAGTTCTTTCCGGGCGATTTCTGCCACTTTTTCATTTGGCTCATCCAATTCAAATTGGAGAACAAAGTCACCCAATTTGATCTTGGGCAATTCCGTCATATTGGACATCATCTCGGCAAGAACTAAAAAAAAATTAATAATATAATAGATAATTTTATATATCTTTTCTTTCACTGGTGTCTGGATTTGTTGCAATCTAATAAGAAAATAAGAGCGACCCGCATACGTTCTTATAAGAATCTAATACGAATACGCAAGTCATATAAATTTCCTCCTATCCGGTTAGTCTAGTTTCTAACGCGACAATTTTCTGTTTTCTGTTTATAATTTTATAAATGCAACTTTTTTCTACTATTACGCAGATTTATATTGAGCATAATAATAGACAGGTTACATAAAATTTGCGGAATGTTTTTTGCAACTTAATTTTTTTGCATAAAAATTAACTCAAGAATAATGTGTATTATAAGTGTACTTTTGTTATAAAATTGTAATATTTTTGAGTTGGGTAGAAGATTTAAGTAATTTTAAAATTTCATGTTATAGTAGACATTTTGAAGTATTAGGTGTACAAATTTTATCACTATATTACAAACGGTACGTCCTGAAGAACTTTCCAAAAACCCATTAAATTTTGTCATTAACGCAAGACTCATGAGTATTTTTTGTTTTGTACTTTTGTTATAAAATTGTAAATTTTTTGTGTTTGGTGAAAGATTTGAATAATTTTAAAATTTGATGTTACAGTAGACATTTTTAAGTATTACGTATGCAAATTTTATGTTCATATTACATACGGTACGTCCTGAAGAGCTTTTCAAAAACCCATTAAATTTTTTCTCACCATGAATAATTTTTTGATGCTTGTTATTAGTGTAGCTTATCCATAAAATTGTAAATTTCTTTTGTTTGGTAAATATTTGAAGAATGTGATATCATGGTAGACATTTTGAAGTATTAGATGTGCAAATTTTATGACTATATTGCAAACCGTACGTCCTGAAGAGCTTTCAAAAAACCCATTAAATTTTTTCTAATAACCCAAGACTCGTGAATATATTTTTGATGCTTGTTATTAGTGTTTTTATCCATAAAATTGTAAATTTCTTCTGTTTGGTAAAAGATTTGAAGAATTTTAAAATTTGATATTATAGTAGACAATTTGAAGTATTAGATGTGCAAATTTCATGACTATATTGCAAACGGTACGTCCTGAAGAGCTTTTCAAAAACCCATTAAATTTTTTCTCATCATGAATAATTTTCTGATGCTTGTTATTAATGTACTTTATCCACAAACTTGTGAATTTCTTTTGTTGTATGAAAAACTTAAGTAATTTTAAAATTTGATGTTATAGTAGACATTTTGAAGTATTAGACGTGCAAATTTGATGACTATATTGCAAACGGTACGTCCTGAAGAGCTTTTCAAAAACCCATTAAATTTTGTCAATATCCCAAGACTTATGAATAATTTTTGATTTGCACTTCACCTATAAAACTGTAATTTTCTATTGTTTGGTAAAAGATTTAAGTAATTTTAAAATTTGATGCCATAGTAGACATTTATAAGTATTAGGTGTACAAATTTAATGACTATATTGCAAACGGTACGTCCTGAAGAGCTTCCCAAAAACCCATTGATTTTTTTATAATAACCCAAGACTTATGAATAACTTTTTGACGTTTGTTATTAGTGTACTTTATCCATAAAATTGTAAATTTCTTTTGTTTGGTAGAAGATTTAAGTAATTTTAGAATTTTATGTCATAGTAGACATTCTGAAGTATTAGACGTGCAAATTTTATTATTATATTGCAAACGGTGCGTCCTGAAGAGCTTTCCAAAATCCCATAAAAATTTTTCTAATAACCTAAGACTCATGAATAATTTTTTGATGCTTGTTATTAGTGTACTTTATCCATAAAATTGTAAATTTCTTTTGTTTGGTGAAATATTTAAGTGATTTCAAAATTTCATATTATAGTAGACAATTTGAAGTATTAGATATGCAAATTGTATGACAATATTGCGAACGGTATGTCCTGAAGAGCTTTTCACAAACCCATTAATTTTTTTCTCATCATGAATAATTTTTTGATGCTTGTTATTAGTGTACTTCATCCATAAAATTGTAAATTTCTTTTGTTTGGTAAAAGATTTGAAGAATTTGATATCATAGTAGACATTTTGAAGTATTAGGTGTAGAAATTTTATGACTATATTGCGAAAAGTATGTCCTGAAGAGCTTTCCAAAAACCCATTAAATTTTGTCTTATAAACCAAAACATTTTTTGTGTATATATTATTTTTTTTTGAATTTTTGATTTTATTTGTAGTTTATAAATTATATATATATATGCACATATACATATATATATATATATATATATATATAATTAAATTGACTTCATTCAAATTTTGTTGGTACTCAATAAGAAAATAAGTTTTGTCTAAAATTTATAATATTCTGATAGAAATTTCTTTTGCTAAAAATTATTTAATATTTTCAAGTATTTCGAGTTACTGGAGATACTATATATAAATGTTGATCTATTAATAGTACAGAGGGTCTCAATAAAATCATTCCCAATTATTCACTTTCGATTCTCAATATTGAGTAGGTCAAGAATTATGTTAATTTTGTTCGTTGAGAGTCTGAGGCAATATTACACAATTCTAGTGAGATACATTACATGAATACTTAATGGAATCTTATTGGAATCACTTAAGAATCATAGGAAGACATGACTGACTGACAAGAATTAAATAGTCTTTTATTTTATTACATTTTATGATTTATTGTTATTTTTTTAATATTTTTTTGAATATTTCTATATTTATTTTATTACCGTCGATGACGACAAAATACTCGTCACTGTTGCATTCATATAAGAATCTTGTTAGAAACACGTGCGGTCACAATCGCCCATTAAATTCTAATTAGAAAACGATGAACACGTGAAAAAAACATCGTGTCAATTGTGCCATAAAATTGTAGATGATATGTAATAAATATAATACATTGTTGATCAGACATATGGACTCTAGATAAACTATATGAAGATTTTCAACGGTTTATTTCAAAAATAATAGTAAAAAATTTTGTTACGTTGAATTTAAGTATCAAACATTTTGTGACTTTTAAACCGTTAGACAATATTTAATGAATCATTCGAGAAATTTGTACAATAATACCCTAAATCAACTCAGAATGCTTTAAAATCAATTAGAAAATTGAAAACAAAAAGTTTTTGTAGTGCCAATGTTGATAATTTGGCGGTTTATTTATTTGGTAAATCTGATGTAACTCGAGTACTATATACTTTATATAAATATAATATTAAGCAAATTTGTACTAAATTGAATATTCTTCAATATTGTTTAATATCCTAATGCCCTGAAATAAGTCATTATACTTCAAAATCGAGCTCGAAATTTGGTAAAAAAAGTCTTTCTATAGTGCCTCAGTTGGGAGCTTGTTAGTGTATTTATACATAATATCTCCTGTAACTTTTATAATATTTATTCAATTTAGATAATATATTAGGCAAATTTATCCAAAATAAAGCAATCTGTAAATATGTCTAATATTATGATGCTCTACAGCAACTCGGTATACATGAAATTTGAGCTCAAAATTAAAATCAATGCTTGATTGGATTCCAGTTGCTACTGCATTTATTTACAATATCTTTTGTAACTTTAATACTGTTTAATGAATTCAAATAAAATATTTGGCAAATTTATACAAAATTGGATAATCTTTAAAAGTGCCTAATATCATAATACCCTACAGCAACTTGATATACTTAAAAATCGAGCTCGAAAATTCAAAAAAATTTCGTTTTTAGTGCTTGAGTTAATAACTTGAGTTGAACATGTATTTATCAAATCACTTGTAACTTTGACAATTTTCATTCAATTTAAGTATAATATATGGCAAATTTGTGCAAAATTGAATAATCTTTAATATTGTCTAACATCATAATAACCTACAGCAACTTGGTATACTCAAAAATAGATAATAAAAATATTTAGCAAATTTTTACAAAACTGAATAATCTTCAATATTGTCTAATATTACAAATCCCTATAGAATCCCCTTTTAAATTGCAATTGAAAATACTTGATTAGACAAAAATATAAACCAATACCTTGTAGTCATGTAAGTTAGATGGTAAATATTTACACTAATTTATTTACTTAGTTATAATTTAATTTATCTAATTAATAATGCAAATAATGTAACTTTTGTTGAATGATTTGCATTTATTATTTTTTTCTAGTTATTTATAAATATAATTTTTATAATAAAGTACAACAGCACCCAAGTAATTAATTATATCATGCACTTTGCTCAATAAAACTTGATTAATTATATATATATATATATATATATATATATATATATTTTTTCACCATTATGCAACGTTTCTTCCTAATACTAATAATAATAAAAAAGTCGTCTGACCTTCGTCGTGTTAGATAAAATCTATTTACATTTTTATGAATTAATTATTGACTTTTTATTGACTCCAAATAGTTTTTTCCTCTTAAGACAACATCCAGTTCAACTTGTACAAAACCTTGGACGACCGACAGTCAATCTTCAATAAAATGTCAATATTAACATTAGAAAAAAACTTTTGTCTTATTCTAAATATTAATTTTATTAATTTCGGGAAGAAACTAAGACTTTGTTCAACATTTTTGCCAAAGATCCTGGACCGATATTGGATATTTAAAATCCGGCAGTTGGAAAAATGTTTTTGATGGAATTGTTGTTTATAACTGCTAAACTATTCGTTTGATATTAATGATGTATCTGACTTAAATATTCAAAATTAAATTATCTGCAAGGTTTTCTAACACAGAAATAACCTACAGCAACTCTGTGTACTTCAAAATCGATTTTGAATCTAGATGTTTATGCCTGATGTAAAGTTTTACCTATATTAACAGTTGTGCATTTGTTTATGATATCTCTTGTAACTTCTTAACAATTTAATGTTAATAAAATATTCAGCAAATTTGTAGAAAATTAAATTATCTATAATATTGCTTAATATCATATATCCCTACAAAAACTGTGTATATTTTAAATTGGAAACTAAAACCTGTATAATAATAACGAGGTCTCAAAAAGTGCATCTATTGCTTATATCGTTTATAGTTTTATATAAATTGTGCATAAGACTCAAATATTTAAGATACAATAGCCTAAAAGTTTTTCTAACAATAACATGCTCTACAGCAATTCGGTATACTTTAAAATTGTCATTGAATCTTGATATATACGATATCTTGATATATCGTATGTCGGGCGTATAGTATTATCTAAGTATATTGACAGTGAAGTTGCAAAATATTTGTGCATTTGTTTACGATCTTGTGTAACTTCTAAACAGTTGGTTTAAAGTTAATGAAATATTTGGCAAATTTGTACAAAATTAAATAATATATAATACCGTCTAACACTATACATTGTTATAACACCCCTGTATACTTTATTTTTGCACTTAAAATAGCACATTAATCCAGAGATTACCCAAGTGTCCTTGCTGGTTATATCGTCTATATCTCCAAAACTATTTGACTAATATAAATTATGTATTTGAGTAAAACGTACAAAATTAAATTTCCAACAAATTTTACTAAGAACAAAATGCTCTACAACATCTCGGTATACCCAGAAACTGTCGTCATTTAGTGTTGTTGACCCGACATTAATATTCGTTTCGAGTGACTCATACTTTAAACGTGACAATTGTGCGAAATGGAAATCATTCATACAAATATATATATATATATATATATATATATATATATATATATGTATGTATGTATGTATATTTATATATTTGTTATTTTTGAGGTCAAGGCCAGAGTATTGTTTCTTAAAGACAACTGTCTGAAGATAATTTTTTGCTTTTTTGACTCTGTAAATAAAATGCAACAAAAATCAATGCAATTTATAAAAAAATATTTATTTTATATATTAAATAGAATATTGCAATTTTTTTATACTTTTTCCTATAAGATTTATATTGATACTTCCTAAAATTCTTACAAGATTCGTGTCAGAAATCTAAATTAATCTTTTTAAGGAAATTATATTAATCAATCATACTGTCATCTAATATATATATAATTTTCTTATGTAATGTTTGCACATTTGAAATATCTATTACAGATATCACTTTACTTAAGTCATCAAAGCATATATATATATATATATATATATATATATATACATTTATATATTCTTATTTTTATATTTATATATCAATTTTTAAACAAGCAATGGTCATTGTTTCATGAAGTTAACTTTCATTTCATACTAACAGATTTCTTAACAATTTTTTATATACATATATATATACATAAATATGCATTTGTATATATATATATATATATATATATATATATATATTTTGTGAATGAAACGAAGCATTGAAATCAAACAAGGTTATAATAAAAAAATAACCTTAAAGATTTATTACTCGTGAATCATTGAAAAATTTATAAAGAAATTATATATATACACATATATATATATATATATATATATATATATATATATACATATTTAAATATAGAAAATAAAATTAAGTACATATTTAAAATTTATTTTCTTATTTCAAGTTTGATTCTCATTAGATTATAAAGAATTCTAGTTGTAAAAAAACCCTAAAATATTTGTTTTAGATTTTGTACTTCAAAACTCGATTAGGATAAAACAAATTAATTTAAAACAAAGAATTAAAAAAACAAATCTTATATCAATTCAGTTTACTCAAAAATTTAAAGAAACATAAATTATTTTAAATTAAATTTTATTTACCAGATTTTATTCAAATTAAATATTATTACTTGGCTTTTTATATAATTGCTTTGGCTTTTATAAACTTTTAACTTATTTTAAATTAGATTTTATTTTATAATTTTTATTTAAATTAAAAATTTGTACTTGGTCTTTTATATAATTACTTTGGCTTTTAGAAACTTATAACTTATTTCAAATTAAATTTTATTTAACAGATTTTATTTAAATTAAAAATTTGTACTTGGCTTTTTATATAATTACTCTTTGGCTTTTAGAAACTTGTAACTTATTTTAAATTAGATTTTGTTTTACAGATTTTATTCAAATTAAAAATTATTACTTGGCTTTTCATATAATTACATTGGCTTTTAGAAACTTGTAGCTTATTTTATTTTAAATTTTATTTATCAGGTTTTATTTAAATTAAAAATTATTACTTGGCTTTTTATATAATTACTTAGGCTTTTAGAAACTTATAACTTATTTTAAATTAGATTTTGTTTTACAGATTTTATGTAAATTAAAAATTATTATTTGGCTTTTTATATCATTGCTTTGGCTTTTATAAACTTTTAACTTATTTCAAATTAAATTTTATTTTACAGATTTTATTTAAATTAGAAATTTGTACTTGGTCTTTTATATAATTACTTTGGCTTTTAGAAACTTGTAACTTATTTTAAATTAGATTTTATTTAACAGATTTTATTTAAATTAAAAATTATTCCTTGGTTTTTTATATAATTACTTTGGCTTTAAGAAACTTATAACTTATTTTAAATTAAATTTTAATTAACAGATTTTATTTAAATTAAAAATTATTGGTTAGCTTTTTATATAATTACTCTTTGGCTTTTTAGAAACTTATGACTTATTTTAAATTTAATTTAATTTAACAGATTTTATTTAAAATAAAAATTATTACTTAGTTTTTTATATAATTACTTTGGTTTTAATCGATATCAATATTGATTAGTCTTATATAATTATTAATAATTACCATTTCATACTGCAAATAATATTTCATTATATGAGTAAGATTTATTATTACGTCAAGAAGTTCTCTTAAAATAGTGATGTGTAAAATTTTCGAAGAAATCCCACAATTAGAGCTGTGAATGAAACATATTTTAAATATCGGTTTTCCCGAGACAAATCGATCATGGAATATTTATTTATGATTAAAATTATATACAAAGTTTTTAAAGTATATAGGATATTTAAAGTATATAGAGTTGTTCTAGAGACACAACTTGCGAAAAAATTAAGTATTAAAAAGAATATTTATTGAATCATTTGTTGTTATTAAATTACTAGTTTATAATTGATTGACGATTAGTAGCATTTTTCATATCAATGGCGATTTTAAATTATACCGAATTGCTGTAGGTTATTATAATATTTGACAAAATGGAAGATTGTTTAATTATAAACAAATGGAGACTGTTTAGGAATTGCATGAATATTTTTGGAGTTACAAACCAAACAGTAAACAAAAACATACATTATTCGAGTATTTATGTTTAAACCATACGATTAATATTCGATATCGATTTAATGGTATAACTAGTTGTTGTAGGTTATTATAATGTTAGACGAAATTAAGCAATATTCAATTATAAACAGATTTGCCAAAGACTGTTTAGGAATTGCATGAACATTTTTGAAGTTACACAACAAACAGTAAACTAAAACACACATTATTCGAGAATTTATGATTAAACTATACAGTTAATATTCGATATCGATTTAAAAGTATACCGAGTTGCTGTAGTGTTTTATCATATTAGACAAACCTATTGATCATTTAATTATAAATAAATTCGCTGTACACATTTTAGACATTAGAAAAATTGTTTTAAAATTACAGCACAAATACTAAACAAAATCACAGAGCACTCGTGATTTTGACTAATCGATATTGATTTCGATTTTAAAGTATACCGAGTTGCTGTAGGTCATAACAATATTAGACAAACTTTAATATTATTTAATTTTAAACAAAATCGTCTAAGATTATATTCAAATTAAATCAATAGTTTACGACCTATAAGCAATGGTCAGAAAATGCACTTAAAATTACAAATTTGAACCCAAAACTTGAGAATTTGGCTTTCAATGTTAATTTTAGAGTATAAGGAGTTGCTGTGCGGCTTTATAATATTAGACAAACTTAACGAAAATTTTGCCAAACTTGTCTAATATCCTATTAACACCAAACCAATACTTTGCATACTACATCTAGAAAACAAAAAAAAATGCACATATTTGAACCCTGAACTTGAGAATTTGACTTCAATGTCGATTTTAAAGTATACCGAGTTGCTGTAGGTCATTATGATATTAGACAAAATTAAATACAATTGAATTCTGAACAAAATTGTCTAACATTATATTAATACCAAACCAATACTTTACAAATTACAAACGCAATACTAAATAAATACACAAATTTGAACCTTCACATTATGCATTTGACATTCAATGCTTATTTTGAAGTATACCGAGTTGCTGTAGGTCCCTATGATATTAAACAAACTTAAAGACAATTTAATTTAGCACAAATCTCCCAAAAACACCGTCAACCCCAGATATCTCGTTTGAAACTTACAAGAGTTATACTAGAAAAAAACACGAGTTATACTAAAATTATACACAACTACCCAAAATAATTTACAACTTACATATACTATCGTTGTTCGTCATTTCGTCCAAAATTCACACAAACACTTATTCTCAAAAACTTTTACTACACACGTACGTACACTAAAAATACTTTACTACTAATTTAAGTACAATACTATTTAATTTCCAGTATAAATATATGTTTATTCGTCTGCTGTTTACTAAATACTGAGTCATACAGTCTGTGCATAGGGCATTTTATTAATGCGAAAATGTCGAAGTCGAGGAAATACAAATACAAATTTAAATTCCTGAAATATGTATACACGAAGTTTGTTTGTGTGGGTGAGCGCGTACTACTCTTGCGCGTTTTGTATGAGGGACAGGTGATAGTGCGGGCGCTGGTAGGGGTAAAAGATGATAAAAAAAATATTTCAGAAAAAAAAAAATTTTTTTGGAAATTATTATTTTGGTGTACATTTTTATGTGTATAGTTAGGTGCAGCACATTAGTGGTATAATGATATATTATTTTTGAACGCATATTGTAATCGAAATGCTTGTTATATATAGAAAAACAATTATAATTACAATTATAACAAGACTAAATGATTATATTATTAATGATTATATCAATTTAAATTAAAAGAAATATTGTTGTAATAAATTCGTAAATATAATAAGAGTCTGTCATTAGTGAGAGCGCTGGATATGAGTATGTATAATTTTTTTGCATAATTTTCATATTATGTATTAAGTTGTTTAGAAGACAATTTATATTGTAAATGTGACAATTTATGTGCGTAATTTATAGTGTGAATTATATTGTGAATGAATTCATATAAGAGTCTGTTATTAGTGAAAGAGCTGGGTATGAGTATGTATAATTTCTTTTGCATAATTTTCATATTATGTATTAAGTTGTTTAGAAGACAATTTATATTGTGAATGTGACAATTTATGTGTGTAATTTATAGTGTGAATTATATTGTGAATGAATTCATATAAAAGTCTGTTATTAGTGAGAGAGCTGGGTATGAGTATGTATAATTTCTTTTGCATAATTTTCATATTATGTATTAAGTTGTTTAGAAGACAATTTATATTGTGAATGTGACAATTTATGTATGTAATTTATAGTGTGAATTATATTGTGAATGAATTCATATAAGTCTGTTATTAGTGAGAGAGCTGGGTATGAGTATGTATACTTTTATTTGCATAATTTTCATATTATGTATTAAGTTGCTTAGAAGACAATTTATATTGTGAATGTGACAATTTATGTATGTAATTTATAGTGTGAATTATATTGTGAATGAATTCATATAAGTCTGTTATTAGTGAGAGAGCTGGGTATGAGTATGTATACTTTTATTTGCATAATTTTCATATTATGTATTAAGTTGTTTAGAAGACAATTTATATTGTGAATGTGACAATTTATGTATGTAATTTATAGTGTGAATTATATTGTGAATGAATTCATATAAGTCTGTTATTAGTGAGAGAGCTGGTTATGAGTATGTATAATTTTTTTTGCATAATTTTTATATTATGTATTAAGTTGTTTATATACATATTCTAATATATGTAATAAAATAATTATATTTGTGCTAATATGTAAATTAGAGTAAAAATGTTTTCTGAATGGTTTAGAATAATATTAGTTTGGGGTCTGGAAAGGCTTAATATTATATTATTTATATATACTTGATTCTTTTAGTGTTTTTGTCCAGGTGGTATGCATAATGTTTCTCTATGTTTATAATTATTTTATATTGATTTTTATTATTATTAAAAATTTTCAAATATATTGTAGTTGCTGAATGATGACACGCATCTGATAACAAAACGTATAAATAAAAGGTCTTAAATACTTTATTGCATTTTTATTTCGACGAATGGGCTGCTAGTTACTTTGAAATATACTTGATTATATATTATTTTTATTTACAATATTTATTTAATTTTTGTATTAATATAATTTTAAAGGAAATTTTAACGAAATTTGAATTAAAATCCCAATCCAATAAAATTCAAGTAAAGCCACAGCAAAGCGTGGCTGGGTATTCTAGTATTAATATTTATATTTAAATTTTATATAAAATATTGCTGAAAATTTGAATGAATAATTTTTGGGAATACGTATTTATGCGTAAGTATTTTTTTTAAGTGAACCCATACTATTTATGTAAGAAATCATCACACACTTATTAGTGAGGGAATTGGTAAGCCAAAAATAAAAAAAAATATATTGTTTGGGGTTTTAATGAATTTAATTTAAAAAACTTATTATTTATATAAAATTTAATTTTAAGTACTATGATTATAAATTGTATTAATATTGCAGAATATTTTAGTATATATATATATATATATATATATATATATATATATATACGTGTATATATATATATATATATATATATATATATATATATATACGTGTATATATATATATATATATATATATATATATATATAGTCATTTTGTGACGGGCTCTCCTCCTATTTTTGGGCAGAACTGTTATTAGTGTACAAGCTGATGCACTTTATCCAGAAAAATGTAAATAACTTCTACAAAAGAAAATATTTTCACATTTTGCAAATTTTGATTAATATTAGATATTTCTAGTTATATTCTGACACAATTACAGAATTATAGGATTACTGATGCGACCTGACAAGCTCCTTAAAAGTGCATATATCATTTCTAAAAACTACTGGAGTTTAAATTATTTGATTTATATTTTAATACTTAGTCGAGATAAACCTTAAATATCTTCTTTTATATACAATATTCTCATTTGCATGTTATATTCAAAATTTGTAAATTTTGTTTAATTATAAACATATTAAATTATATGATGACCAAATTTCAAAACTTTAGGACAACTAGTACAACCTGACCAGCTCTTGAAGAATGCTTATATATTTTCAACAAAGTTTCTTAGTGAAAAATTACTAATCTAATTAGACGTGTACTTTGTTGAGTTGAAATTAAATATCTTTTGTAATATATTTCTTTTTAGGATTTTGTAAATTTTGTTGAATAATAGATACTTCAAGCCTTATTTTGACAAAATTACATAAATTTTGGCCAACTATTACAACCTGAGGAGTTCCTTAAATTTGCATTTATATTTTCAATCATCTTTCTGAGATAAAAGAAATCAATTTACTTAGACAGGTACTTAGTTCAGAATAATCTAAATATCTTCCACAAAATGAAATATTTTTAAAATTGTAACTTATGTTTAATAAAAGATATTTCAAGCTATATTTGGACAAAATTATAAAAAATTAGGACACTTAGTACAATATGACGAGTTCCTTAAAAATTCATACATAATTTCAACCATCTTCCTGAGACAAAAATCATCGACTTAATTAGACATGTACTTTGTTAAGTTGAAATTAAATATCTTCCAAAATATTCTATATTTTTAAAATTTGTTAATTTAGTTGAATAATAGATACTTCTAGCTATATTTTGACAAACTTACAAAAATTTAGGACAACTAGTATGATCTGAGAAGCTCTTTAAAAATGCATACTTGTTTTTAACCATTTTTATGAGTAAAAATTAACAATATAATCACACATGTACTTTTAATGAGTTAAATTCTAATTATCTTTTGTAATATAAAATATTTTAACACTTTGTAAATTATGTTGAATAATAGATACTTCAAGCTATTTGGCTACAAAATTACAGCATTTTAGAACATCTAGTACGTTCTGACGAGCTCCTTAAAATGCATATATGTTTTAAACAATTCTTCTGATATTAGTCAAAAATAATTAATTTAATTAGACATGTACTTTGTTGAGATAATTCTAAATATCTTCTAAACAATAAAATATTTTTACAATTTGTAAATTTTGTTGAATAATATATACTTCATGCTATATTTTGACAAAATTTCACAATTTTAGAACCACCAATATAGCCTGAAGAGCTCGTCAAAAATAAAAAATAAATTTTCCTTTAACGTTTTTGATTTTTCAAATACAATTTGATAAGATAATTACTTTGTTCAGATTAATCTGAATATTTTCCACAATATTGCTTATTATAAAATTTTGTAAATTTTGTTCAATAATAAATACTTCAAAGTATATATTCACAAAATTTTACAAATTTAAGATATCCAGTATGACCTGGAAAGTCCCTCAAAGCAACACATATTTTGCTCATTAAAATTTTTTACAAGAAATATTATTTTGTACAATTTTGGTGCTTAATTTAATATAATTTAATAACTTTAATGAAAAATTATATGAAGTTTCAATAGTAGTAGAAATTTATTCAAATTCAAATAAATTTTTGAACAACTTAAAAAATCTAACAAAAAGCTGATAGAAAATTATTTAAAAAGTATTTTTTATATTGGAAAAAAACTTGCATAAAAGTTTGCGCTAAAATGTGAATGCAATTTAAGTTTAAGGAAATAATTTAATTATTAATTTAATGAAGATATAAATATATATATATATATATATATATATACATGTATATAATCATTAACAATGAAGATGACATTGGAAGATTTTGCATGATTGACAGCTTTTGCATGACTCTGTTAAATTTGCACTAAAATCACAATACAACAATAATTTATTATTGTTAAAAGTCATAATATTATCGAATCATGATTTTGCTGATTTGCTGACATAAGTTTATAGTTTTGCGAATAATTCTCCCTGGTGAAATAAATCGAACTTTTAATAAAAAGTCACAATTGAATTTATAAATACGAATGGCGTTTTTGATGAGCTCGTCAGGTTGCACTAATTTTGCTAAGCAAGTGAAATTTTGATAAAAATTTCTGTGATATATGTGTTATTACATAAATTTTATATAATTTAAAAATTCTTTATAATGTAGAAGTAATTAAGAATATTGCACACAAAGTCCCTCTCATTGTTGATTTTTATTCAGGAAATTGTGAATAATCATAATGCTATTTTCGATGAGCTCTTCAGGACGCACATGATGCGCTAAAGTGATTTTATTTATTTATAATATACCATACTATATCTGCTTTTGAATTTATTTTTCAAAATATCAAAATCTTTGATATTAATAAAGATTTTTGGATTTATCTGAACAACGTCCCTGTCTAATTAAATAGATGTTTCAAGAGTCAACGATTTCAATTCAAATTTTAGGTTTTGTAAATTTTTGAAGAGCTCGTCAGGTCGTATTAGTTATT